GTAAAGTTGAGTATTACACAGGTACAACATTTCTGTGACGCCATCGGAAGTGGAAAAATCAGCAAGACAGGTGCGTCACCTTCTAGCAGAGAGTTCACTGTGTTCACCTGTAAAATAATTTACTGTGATTATTTGGACTGATTGGTCTGTTGCAAGCCACAATACCAATGCGGCTCTAGGGATGGCAATTTTGGCGTGTTTGCTGGTTGGTCCATGACATTTTCTGCAGAGGTTCATAATGTCCAGAGGATGAAGCCTAATGACTTTGGTGATCTCTTGACTTTGCCTCTAACCAGCAGGTTAACGTGTGTTTTTGGATTGTCACCAAATAGCATCGGACGCTGTCAGGGTGTCGTTGAATTTTACCAACTTGTAAACTCTTTTATTGACCAGTCTATTTACTGTACATTTTATTTATTCTTTCTTAATAGATTCCTTTATTCCACTGAACTGTTTGGCATATTTTTATCTTTGATTTGTATTTATTACACATCAGTATGTATGCAAGGCATGCTACAGACAGTGACCTTTCTGTCAGGGCGAATTGTAATAACATTGGTGACCCAGACTCTTTGCTTTAGTGCAATCATGAGGTTGCCATGAGACTTGATCCACATTTCAGTTTCCCCCTCAAGATGAACTGTAATCACTTTTCCTGATTTTTTTTCCTTTAACACTTCGGCATATGACTAAATACCTGCTAAACAAATTACATTCCCATCAGCCTCAGCTACACTTTGTGTTTGGTGCTAATCAACAAATGTTAACATTCTATAACTGAAAACTAAGATGGTGAACAAGGAAAGTATCAGCTGTTACACATGACTCCGCTCACAGCTGGTTCACTTCATACCTCACCTGCAGAAATGAGCATGCTGCAATCGGAAATGTAAGATGTCTCACCCATAATGTCACATGTGGTGTCCCCCAAGGTTCGGTGTTGGGTCCCACCCTGTTCACTCTCAACATGTCAGCCATATCATCAGTAGGCATGGTATCGCCTTCCATTGCTATGCCGATGACACACAGCTGTATCTCTGCACAACACCCACTCCCTCTACACCCCTGCCACTATCCACACTGACTTCCTGCCTGGAGGAGATAGAGGTATGGATGAAGCTAAATTTCTTACAGCTAAACAGTTCAAAGACAGAAGTTATCCAATTTGGCACACCGCACCAGGTCCAGTCATCCACCATCACCAGCATCACTTTCTCCGGCCAAAACACCCCCCTCTCCACATCCGTTATTAACCTGGGCGTTAAAATGGACCCTCACCTCACCTTTGAGACTCATATCAAACACCTGTGCAAAACGCCTTTCTTTCACCTCCGGAACATCGCCAAACTCCGTCCCATGCTCACCCTTGCAGATGCATCGTTTTATAGCACTTTGAGATTCCCCCGGAATGTAAAGTGCATTATAAATAAAATGTATTATTATTATGAACATGTTAGCATTGTCACTCAGAGCATACAGTATCTCACATAAGTGAGTACACCCCTCCAATTTTTGCAAATATTTCATTATATCTTTTCATGGGACAACACTATAGAAAAGACACTTTAATATAACTTAAAGTAGTCAGTGTACAGCTTGTATAGTAGTATAGATTTACCTTCCTCTGAAAATTACTCAAAACACAGCCATCAACATCTAAACAGCTGGCAACATAAGTGAGTACACCCCACAGTGAACATGTCCAAATTGTGCCTAAAGTGTCAATATTTTGTGTGCCAACCATTATTATCTAGCACTGCCTTAACCCTTTTGGGCATGGAATTCACCAGAGCTCACAGGTTGCTTCAGGAATCCTCTCCCACTCCTCCATGATGACATCATGGAGCAGATGGATGCGAAGACACCTTGCGCTCCTCCACCTTCAGCTTGAGGATGCCCCACAGGTGCACAGGTGAGTTTAGGGCTGGATACATACTTGGCCAGTCCGTCACCTTTACCTTCAGCTTCCTCAGCAAGGCAGTTGTCATCTACTAGGTGTGTTTAGGGTCATTATCATGTTGGAAAACTTGATAATGAAAACTTGCAGCCCAGTTTCTGAAGAGGGGCGATCATGCTCTGCTTGGAATTCATGTTTCCCTAAATGAACAGAGCTCCCCAGAGCTGGCAGCACTCATGCAGCCCCAAACCATGATGCTGCCACCACTATACTTGACTGTAGGCATGGGACAGTTGTCTTGGTGCTCTTTCAGCATGTGTGGCACCTTGGTGAAGAGCACCAAGACAACTGTCCCTTGCCTACAGTCAAGTATAGTATAGAGGATTCCTGAAGCAACCTGTGAGCTCTGGTGAATTCCATGCCCAAAGGGTTAAGGCAGTGCTAGATAATAATGGTTGGCACACAAAATATTGACACTTTAGGAACAATTTGGACATGTTCACTGTGGGGTGTACTCACTTATGTTGCCAGCTGTTTAGATGTTGATGGCTGTGTTTTGAGTAATTTTCAGAGGAAGGTAAATCTATACTACTGTACAAGCTGTACACTGACTACTTTAAGTTATATTAAAGTGTCTTTTCTATAGTGTTGTCCCATGAAAAGATATAATGAAATATTTGCAAAAATTGGAGGGGTGTACTCACTTATGTGTGATACTGCATAAGCATGCTGATGTTAGCATTTAGTTCAAAGTACTGCTGTGCCTGAGTGGCTTCAACCTCACAGGGCTGCTAGTTTGGCCATACACTCATGGAGCCATATTTTTACACCTGGCGTACAGCACATTGCAACTGTCACTGGTGGTTTCAGTATGATGCAATTGTAACTTTCCATTGCAGCTGTTTATTTCAGGAGCTAAAAGTTTAGTTATGATTCTTCTGTCAAGTTTAGAACTAGAGTTTTTAGTTTTGGTGCTTAAATGTCCTTTAAATGCTGCAATGACACAACTGCTCTCTCTGTGTTACCGCTCGCTTCTCCTGTTTGCTGAATCTGCCATGTAAGCTGCACCTGGCTTTTAAAGAGTGGGAGATGACACTCTGATTGGTTGAAATCATGTGGTGCCCAAAACACACCTGTGATTAATTAAGGGACTAATTACAACCCCTTTGCCCCTTGTGCCTTTTTGCCCAGATCATGAGCAGTTTGACTAGTTTAAGTGGAGCTGGATGTGTCCCAAATGCACCTGTGCCATGCACTTTAGACCTGCACTATGCTGTGTTTTTTCTACAGGTGGCAAATCTGAATTTCCTACTCCATTAAATTATTTGGACTTGACTGAAGATGGAATTATTTTAATGATGTTTTTTTCTTTTGTGTTCAAAAGGTGTGATATTTTTCAAATTCAGTTTCAGTTCACTTGTTTTGGCTTGTTTTGACACTCCCAAAAAAGATTTCTCAGCTTGTCGAAAGGCTTTCTTAGCACCATGACATCAGAGGAAAAACAAACATCGACTTGATATGTCACAAAGTCACATCTGTCACTTTAAAAAGGGCAAACAAACTAACAAAGACAGCAACTGAAAGCTGAATAGGGTGACACACTCCTGGTGACCCAACCCTGACACACCTTTAACCACCTCATCAATAGGTTAGGGGGGGGATTAAGGTGCATTCAGGAAAGCTTGTTCATCAGATGTATATTTTTCTTTGACAACAAAAAAGAAAAGCAGAACTACCACATCCCAGTTGTATGCCTTCACAAACCGGTCAAGTTGCAGTTAAAGTTCACGTCTTTCCAGTATCATATGTAGCTATGACGTCTGACAATGCTTCAAATATGGATGCTGCTGCTAAAAAGCTACATATTCTAAAATAAAGATTCTTCACATGCATCTACAGCCGGCAGCACAGATCCATACAATCAGCACAGTTTCAAGGAGGGCGCCCAAGATTAGTCAACAATTCAGTATTCGACCAAATGTCTCCCCTTTTGTTCCTGAGTTAGTGTTGAGTAATGACCAGAAAGGCGAGTTTGAATGCTAATATTTTTTGTTGACTCACTTCGTATGCACGAATAACTCCCGTCATACGCACCTGAATCACTGATTTGATAAATGAACGTCCGCTGGTACGTCCTCGGCGTCATACCTGCCCACAGGAGCTCAATGCTGATTGGCTATCGGGGCATGAATTGGTCGCTTAAGTTCAGTTTCTTCACCTCTCTCACGAATAAGCTTATGACATAATATCAGACCTCTTGCTTCATTCCTGCTGCTTAATTTGCGTATTTTGCATAAATCATGTCGTGTCCATTGCACCATTGCAGGAATTTGTGTCTATTTGCATCTTTACATTGACTTTACATGTGATTCACTCATGCTAATTGTTTTATTCGTTCCCAGGGTGACCACAACATCAAACATTTGATTCTCTGAGACATTTGTGTGAAATTTTGTCATAATTAGCGTATAAATTTGAGTGATTTGAGTGTTTTGTGGGGTCAGAGTGACCTTTAACCACCAAAATCTAATCAGTTTCTCGTTGAGTCCAAATGGACATTTGTGCTAAATGTGAAAAAATTCCCTCAAGGTGTTCTTGAGATATTGTGCTTATGAGAATGAGACGAACAAGGTCACAGTGACCTTTGATCACAAAAATCCAAATGGTTCATTGTTGAGTCCAAGAGGAGGTTTGTGCACAATATTAAGAAATTCGCTTAAGTATCGCTTTTAGTAGAATGAGATGGATGTGAGGTCACAGTGACCTTGACCTTTGACCACCACTATCTAATCAGTTTCTCATTGAGTTCAAGCGGACGTTTGTGCAAAATTTGAAGAAATTCCTTCAAGGTGTTCTTGAGATATTGTGCATACGAGAATGAGACGAACAAGGTAACAGTGACCTTTGATCACAAAAACTGAATCAGTTCATTGTTGAGTCCAAGAGAAGGTTTGTACAACATTTAAAAAAAAATTCCCTGAAGGCATTCTTGAGATTTCACATTCATGAGAATAGGACAGACGGACAGACAGACAACCTGTTAACATAATGCCTCCGACCACATCTGTCCACGATGGAGGCATAAGAAAAACACACAAGAATCTTTTTGGAAGGCAGTGACACAATGTGTGCTGTTTTATTACTTGATCTGTGACTTACTGTGCAACAGTATAGTGTCATATATTAAATGCTTTACATAACCTTTTAAAAAAATGTGTATGAGAACTATGAGATGCTCTGATTATTAGTTATAAGCTCATTTTTCAAATTCAACCGTTTTAAGCAATAAGCCAGCATTGCTGCACGCCAATCCATAAACCGTCAGTCACTTAGTTCATTACCAGGGTTTCCGCATGCATTTGGGTGTGTTGTATTAAGGACATCCGTAAACACACACACACACACAAAATGCAACATTGGTTATTACGCACTCACTCACTCACTCACTCACTCACAAATCTAGACATTTTGCTGAAGGTGTTAGAGGTTTCTGACATATGCGCTGAGGCATCAGGCCTTCGGGCCCTCAGGGACGGTGTGATTGACAGTTTCCCAAACAAGTGGAACAAACAGAGTCACGAGACGCTTGAAAAACACCCACTTGCTCTTTCACAAACAAACACTCCAGAGAATGAGACGGACAATTGAACGACGGGACGATGATGGCAGTGATTCCTGCCCTCCGTCACATCAGAGCAGCAGGTCTGTGACTGAGGGCAGCAGCTCGGCCAGCTCCGACTCGATGTTGGCCAGCTGAGTGACAGGGTTGCCGCGGAGATCGAGGCGCTTCAGATTGGGGCAGGAGGCCAGCGGCTGAAGATCTGTCAATTTAGAGATTTCTGTGCATTTGGGTTAATGAAAAGCCTTCCTGTGTGCTGTAGTAACATTAGTAGTGATGAACAGATTTTCCAAGCACGGGTGCAAACATAAGATCCATGTGTCAAATGTGACGCTGTGATATGAATTAATTCTTCTAAATATAACACCTAGAGGCCTAAATTTACATCAGAAGGTATGCACTCAAAATCTAATTCAGCTGTCCTTACAAGAAAACAAAACTTGAAGGTGGCCTCAGTGTCATTTCCTGCGCACCACGTTAATTCTTCTCCAGTGTACCGGGGGAAGTGAAGCGTGAAAGAGAAAGAGCCTGCAGCGATGATGTGTTAAGTGTCTCTTCCCTACTTAATGATGCTGTTTGCTCTGTGAAATTGCAGCGCTGATTTTATTTACTCAACCGCTAAACAAAGTTTCAGGTGAAAACAAATTATTCATGCATTGAAGTTGAAGACTCGATATCGCTGCAATTTTCTGAACTCTGTAAACACCATCCGGGTGTGTAGTGCGTTTTTAACATTGCACTCTTCACACACCATCAGCTGCTTGCTCTCTTTAGCAGGGCTGTTTTGCAGCGTTGAGCAGTGCGCTGATTCACACATGTTTTGAGTCACTTGTACAGTGTGAGAGGAGTGTACAGATATAATATAAATTGATCTCTATGACACTGATGTTACAGGATTAACACGGATTTAGAACAGCACGTTCTCTGGGAGACGAATAAATGAATATGAATGATAGATTTAAGGATACTGTTATTCTTCAAGAGTACTTCTTCCAGTTTGGGAAGGTGATACACTCCTTCCAGATTTTCTATGGCGTTGTTATCAGCCTCCAAGACCTGCAAGCGTGAAAAAGTTAAATCAAACATGTTGCAGAGAAAGAAGTAAACAATAAAAAAGGAACACTGCCCGTGTAGGACATATAATTGGATTTGAATTGGAGCTTTATCACCTCCAGGCACTGCAACATGGCGAACTGAGGAGGCAGCCGCTGAAGCTGATTGGAGGACAAATTGATATGGGTAACCAATAACAGCTGGTCCAGGTGGCATAAAGTGGTCAGGTTCTGTAAGAAAGAAATGGGAGATATTATTTTTCAAAGCTCCCCTGTGTGGCAGGCAGGCACACTCTTAGAAGTGAAGAGAACTAGAACTAGGTTTCTGTGGCTTGTCCCCACAGGAAAACCCTTTTGGTTTCCGATAGAGCCTTTCCACCTCAAACCCTTTCAGAGGGTTCTACCTAGAAGCCAACTTACAGGTGATACCTTGAACCATCAATCAAAACCCCTCATGGAGAGCTCTAAAGAGAACCCTTCTATGGCGCAATGGTTCCACCCAGAACCCTCTCTGGGGGTCCCATCTGGAACCCTTTCACCTTTTGAGGGTGCTAAAAAGAACCCAACCAGGGGGTTTATCGAGAATCCTTTTCTATTCCGAGGGTTTCATCTAGAATCCACCCACCCACCAACATCACCCAAAGATCTCTCTCAGGAGGTTAGCCTAGGGCAGGGGTAGGCAACCTGTGGCTCTTTAGCCCCTGTCCAGAGGCTCCTTGAGCCTTTGAGAAAAGAAGTCTATGGAAATTGATTCTATGAATCCAAATGTTGCTGAACCTCAATAGCAGTGGCTGGTTAGCTATGGATGCCAAATCCAAAAAAGTAAATTGAATAAAATAGAGAACGTAGTAGTGTGTGGACAGATTTGTTTGCTCTCACTGCCAGCTCTGCAAAATTGATTAAGTACCAGATAATCATTAATAGTGCCCTGCACAGTGGCCACCTTGTGGTAAAACATATTAACAAATGCTTATTTAGACCATAAGTATAAGCTAATTTAGACTTAATAGGCTATTTACCTTGATTATAAGGCTCAAACATGTTTTGCGGCTCCACACAGATTTTTTCAAATTATTTTTGGTCAAAAATGTCTCTTTTAATGGCAAAGGTTGCAGACCCCTGTCCTAGGGTCTAGGTAACCTCGTCCAACAGTGTTGGGCTTCATGAGGCTCCTAAAGGGCCGGGTCAGATGTGGTCCAGCCCAATCCAGAACAATCACTGTTCACAAAGTTTTTAGGGGTTAGAGAGCTCATTAAATCAGTTGTACAGCCTTCACTATTTCAATGGTGTCGTAGGGCTGGGAACCAGAATTTGTTTCAAAATTAGAGCCGAAGACAAAATGCCAAGTACCAGGTACCCAAAAACAAAAAGAACAATTCAGCAGACCATGTGGTATTATATGGCAGGAAATGAAGGTGAAATCATCATTGACTGATGGGGTTCTAGATACATCTACATTTAAAAATACCATTTAAAATGCATGCAACAATACTTAAAGAACTCTTTCTTCCACAGAAATGGTTCTTTGGATGGAAAGGGTTCTTAAGGGAACCCCTAGCCTTACAAAGAACTTTTGAAGAACCTTATCTTCATAAAAAAAAGGTTCTTTGGATGAAAATGATTCTTAATAGTTAATTCCATTATGGTTTTGCGCAAAATAAATGCAATATTTCTAAAGTTGCGACAAAGTACAATTGCGACTTGCAGGTGTTTCCATTAAAAGGTGTTTGGCGTATGAGCCGTAATTCTCGTAAGATCTCGTCCCGCGAGACTCCACTTTGTTTGCGGAAGTAAGATGGACATTGCAAATCTCTTGCGAGCTGGAACAATCATCTCGGTTGCCACTGCTGCTGTTGCAGTAGTCTACAACCGAAGACGAAGAGAGCGAGTGGTATTCCAAAGGCAAAGTCCTTATAAGTTTGAATAAGTGAACCCTGAACTGGTCATGTGACCCCCAGTGTCATGTCCAGGGACGTATATTTGCGAAAAAAGTGTTTCCATTACACTTCTGCGATATACTTTTATACTGACATGTCTGAAAAACCACCTCATGAGAGCGTAAAAACTTTTTCTCGATATTTGAGAGTTTTTTCAAAATGTTTTTCATTACCATTTTTTTATTGGGATATTTAGGTTTTGCGCATTTCTAGGGTTAATGGAAATGCACTTAATGAAACCCTTAGCCTTACAAAGAACTCTTGAGGACCTCTTTGTTCACAGAAATGGATCTTTAAATGAAAAGGTTTCTTGAGGGAACCTTTGGACGTTCCAAAAAAACATTGAAAAACTCTTTATTTACAAAAAAATGGTTCATTAGACAAAAAGTGTTCTTAATGACACCCTTAGTGTTACAAAGAACCCTCAAAGAACCCTATCTCCACAAAAGGGTTGTTTGACTGAAACATGATTTTAATGAAACCCTTGTTCTTAGAAGGAACACTTAAAGAATTCTTTCTTCACAAAAATGTTTTCTTTGGATGAAAGGGGTTCTTAATGGAACCTGTAATGGAAAATTACTGTATAACTGTATAACCCATCACTTTGCTCGAACAAATGCCTTTTGTAAGTTGCTCACTGATAGAACTCTCTCATGACTGTTTCCCATGTAATTTAAAAATGTTTACACAATCAAATACAATACAGGATTTGTTGTTGTATGTTTTTTTGTTTTTTCTGTTCAAGGCTAAGTTGACTTGTTGACCACAGAACCGGTCCTAGCTGGTTAACGTCCTTGCAGGTGCTCGTACCTTCTTAGTAAGTCAGTAAATTTTATTTCTATAGCACTTTTCACAGATAAAATCACAAAGTGCTTTACAGCAAGAATAAAAAGCAATAAAAGAGAGACAGAGACAACACAGAAAACACACAACTGCACAGAAAACAGATAAAGTCACAGAGGCCCAAAAACATCAACTTCAGTAAAAAGCCTGTCTGAAAAGATAAGTTTCTAGTTCTCTCTTAAAACCTTCAGTGGACTCTATGCTACGCAGAGTCAGAGGTAGTGCATTCTTATCAGTTTCCTCCCTAACTTGTCTATAAAGGAGTCCCAGCAAGGATACCTTTTGGCTACACTCTGCAGACTGCCTGCTCCTCTCTATGAGTGTGTGACCCTTTGCACAAAGCATTGAAAGATTGAAAGACATCTCTGGTGTTTCAGAAATCATTATTTCAGACTCTCACACACTCATGAAGTTTTTTTTAATGAAAAGGGTTCTTGTTGAGACCCTTGAACTTACAAAGAACCCATGAAGAACCCTTTCTTTAAAAGAGTTTTTTCAGAAGCAAATGGTTTTGGGTATAACATCAGCCCTCCAGAAAGAACCTTTCTTGAACCCCTATTTCTAAGAGTAAAAGTAATTTCATTTTAAGCAAATGGAAGTTCTTTTTTCTGATTCCGAACCAACCTTGTCAGACATGCTGAAGACGCGCACTTCAGCGTACTCCATTTTCAGGATGGTGTTTTCAATCATAAACTTGCTGCACAGATCACTGTAATATGCAGAGCGCATAGAATCCACTTCCTGAGGGAGAAAATGAGAACCTTCAGTCAGTGATCTGTTTCCTAGTCAGTGTCACAGACCGTCTGTGGTTGGTACTCACTTTCAATGTTTGGAAATGAGCAAGAGTCTCCTTTTCATATCCCAGTGGGTCTAGTGCCCTCATCAGGAGGATAATGGTCAGTAAGCACCCTGCAAAGGCAGGCAAAGTTTTAATGACTACAATAAAACACCACGATCAGCAGGAGCAAACTTCAGTATTGTGTAATTATGTAAAGTGGGTGATTTGGTTGTGTAAAGAACAAGGAGCTGTGTGGATGTGATGCATTTAAAAGCACTTACACTTATTGAGCGGCTCCAGTTCTTGTAGCTGGTTGCATGATTGCAGCTCTGACTGTAACACTGAGGTCTTCTCTACTGAGAGTTCACTCCTGCACAGAAACAACACACTCAGTTCTTACTCCTTAAAAGAACTACACAGTGTGCTGCTACTGAGCCAAAACCATACCTGAAAAGTTCCTGATCTGTGGCAGAGTCCCGGCACCAACTCTCAGTTCGACCTGTGGAAGTCAAAAGTTCACAGCATTATGTTGCTTTAGAAAATGAACATTTGTAGAACATGAACATGTGATTATGCACGATATGTGTCACCTGTGTAGAGAGCACAGTCTCTGTGAGTGTGTTTTTCAGTCCAGTGTACAGTCAGGTTGTGTTCATTTGTGATGTCGCTTATTGTTCCAGGAGGAAGATCACAGATCTGAGACAGTGTTAAGTTTAATAAAGCACAAAATGGAGATTATTTACTACACAAGTCAAAAGGAAGAGTCCCTGAACTGGTCACGGCCTGCTTTGTGTACTGGTGCCTTTGGTGTTTGGGGAAAGAATGAAATGAGTTGTGTCTGTAATAGACAATATAATCATGTAAGTTGCCTTTATTAGTTAGTCTATCTTTGTTTTCACTCAATTGGCTTGAGTTTTCTGGATTTTGAGTCTCAGTTTACTGTTTTTTTCTTTATGACCACTTGAGAAGTAGGGAAGCAGCACTTTTTTCCAACTCTGCTGTTTACCATGCTGGTAATCTGAATGAATTATAACCATTGTACGGTTGTGCAGTGCTTAGCATTGTCGCATCACAGCAGAAGGGTTCCTGATTCCAACCCACTGTGGGGAGCCTTTCCATGCAGTGTTTGCATGTTCTCCCTGTGTCAGCGTGGGTTTTCTCCGGGTGTGAATGTGAGTGTGAATGGTTGTCTGTCTCTATGTGTCAGCCCTGTGATCGTCTGGTGACCTGTTCAGGGTGAACCCTGCCTCTCACCCAGTGTCAGCTGGGATAGGCTCCAGCCTCCCCCGCGACCCCTGCCAGGATATCATTGTTTAATTTGTGCTTTGCTTTTAATTTTGTAAAAGTTTTAAGGTAACCAGCTCTAAAAAAAAGCTACAGACCCTTAGCATGAGTGTGCATAGTAATTCAATGGCTCATTTCCAAGACAATACAGCAGACTGGTAGAGCAGGGCAGCGTAACTCAAATACAATATCCTTGATGGAATAGTAAAAACAGTAATTTAAAAAAACTTGGCTTTTGGTAGTTAATTTAGATTTGCACAGATCAGTAAAACAATCCATGACTGGGTGAGCATTAAGCATTTTTAAATTTAGTTTGAGAGAGAAAAGAATTAAAATACAAATTTAAAGACACAATAATCAGGTTGTGATGAACATACGTGCAGCCCCTGAGTGAGTGACCACAAATGTAAAGTGTCAGGCCACAGTTGCGTCTGCTCTCACCACAGAAGAAAATAATATTAACATGGGATTATGATTGAATATGGATATGAATGAATAAAGGTGAAATCCTAACAGCTACTTGGCTCGTATGTCAACAGATCTGTGACAACTGAGCAAACTGCATCCACTGTGCAATACGGCAGAAAGCTCCGTAAAAGGCTAATAAATGGACCTTGAGTTCAAAATATAAACACCTACTAGTCCATGTTCATTATGGAAATTATCCTTAAATCAATTTGTCTAGTAACTTTAAATATTTTTGGAATTAAACTACCACATTTTGCTGGCTGCCCTCCACATGAAGCTTCCACACAAGCCTCACTGCACATCTGTGGTACAAGTAACAATGACATTCCTTTCCAGTAGATTTATCAAAGTCTTGTGATAAAACCATTTCTCTTTCTCGTGCACATACCACAGCATCTTTTCAGCATGTGACGCGTTAAGAATGACGAGAACAGAATGTTAAACTGGTATCCAGTTCAACCAGCAGTGACAGTTGATAATTGTGTCTGTGAAAAAAGGATACCCAGACAGGGCTGTGTTTAAAGCGCAGGTGGACGCTCCTCCACTCCACTCTCTGGGGCTGACCGTCGAGAACCAGTAGCAGGCCGACAGACTGCGCCTGAAGGGGCGGAGACAGGAAGAGAAGTCGCTGAGTAAACACAGGGTACCATACAGACACTACAGTACAGTTTCTTACACAATACTGAGTTCACTTTAACTCTTCACACAGTCTGCACAGAAGAGCCGGCACAGACTAAACTGTGAAGAACTTTTCATCACTTTAAACACAAAATAAATTCAATGTCCTCATTTTATAAATTTCTCGAATTATTTTCTCACTCAAACACAACCAGATCTGCATATTTTAAATCCATTTTGCACATTAATATTCAATCTAAAAAACTTGACATGACACAAAATCGGTGTAAATTAAACAACAATTTGCTTCATTCTGCAACATCTGAATAAAAACTACACCGTGAGGAAGGCGCATGTCAATACGCGTTGTTGTATTTTTAATGTTTCTAAACCACTGAAATAAAGGCCTTTTATATTTTTTTAACCATCTTGAGTGCCTGGACCTGGATCATTTAGGCCTTTTTTGGCAACAAGTCTTTCTCTCTTTTATTGAAGCATTCTCTTCCATGAGCACCATTGGTGTGAGGGACACCAGTAGCGCTCCTGCTATCATTTTAATTGATATGTCTATGGACAGAAAATTAATTGACAACTGTTTTTATCATCGAATAGTCGTTTTAGTCTTTTTTTTTTTTAATAAAAAGCCCAAAATGTTGCTTTCATGCTCCTTAAATGTGAGAATTTGACTGAGCTTTGGATTTTTGGACAGTTGGTTCGATAAAAGACACCATTTGAAGGCGTCACGTTGGGCTCTGGGAAATCACACAGAGGACACGTTTCTGACATTTTACTGACAAAACCATAATCAAGATTATGGGCAGATTAATTGTTAAGGAAATAATCACTAGTTTAGTAAGCGCTGCTGTTGCCTGTATCTATAACCTTACTTCACATTAGGCCTGGGCGGTATCATGATATTACAGTATACTGGGGGTTTTAAAAGCCCGAAGGTATGACTTTACTGAATCATACTGATACGGAAATGATGTATTGCAGCAATGTACTGCACAGCACACGCCACCAGAGGTCAGTCTCTACTGGTGGAACGTGCAAAGAAAGCTGACGACAGCGAGTGGTGGGGACAACGTTACAGGACTAGTAAAAAAGAAAATGTCTCTGACCTTGTTTGGGAGTACTGCCACATTTAACTTCATCTTGAGATGACTCCTCCCGACTACAAAAACAGTTTATTAGCCACATGATTTTATTCGACTAATTATCTCCATTTAGCCAACTAATGTGTCAGTATGCGCTGCAGCAACATGTGTCATCAGTGCCTCCAGCAAGAGGAGCACCTATTCATTATTCTATGGGCCATAAGTATTTAAACCCAGTAAGACTTATCTAAGTCGGCTAATTACATGTTACAAGCACAGCCTTGCAGGCTAGACAATGACACACATGCTACAATGACTTCTATCATCAGCAGTTCAGTTGTTGTTTTTCCAAGAATACCATCATACACTGTATACCCCGGTGAAAAAACAGATACCACCCAAGCCTAATTTACATGTATGTTTAGTAAATACATAGTTTACATGTTATTTTTTTGTACTGCATCACTCAAAAGACTTATGTTAAGGAAAATAAGCCTTCTGAAACATATTGTTGCATTTCATTTCCAACAGCTTGTCTGCACAGGAGGGTCGGAGCATATTTTTACGTTTCAAGTCTATTTTCTGCCATTTTAAACCCTTAACTACAGTGACAGTCTGTCAGACTGAGTGCTGCCAAAACACGGTTGAACTACGCTCAACACTGCACCTAAGTGCATCCTGTGAAGACCAAGAGGCCTGAAGCTGCTGCTCTGCTAATGTGCTGCTCACACTACGCTTCCTACTCATCCAGCCTCTGTAGTTGTAGTGAAGAGGTGTCTTTCTTGTTACTGTGATAAAATTAAGTTTTGTTGAACTCATTTTGGTCATTTTCCAACTTATACAACCCAAGTACACATAAGAAAGTTAATAAGCTTTCTTGTTGGGAGACACATTTTTTTGGTACAAGAGTTGATACTGGATGTGTTTTGGTTGCATTTTGGATTTGAGCTGCATGTTGGTTTAAGTGAGAATAAAGACCTTTATTGCTTTAATTTATCATTATGAGGTAAATGTTCATAGCACAATGTAATGGTTACAGAATAATAAAACCATCAGCGTTTAGACTGGTTCCCTACAAGTCTTGCTTTCACTATAGCCCCTTTCACACTGCCAGATTTTCCGCGAATGTTGGGCCGTTTTGGAGGCAAGCTGCGAGCGTTTAGACACACAGAGCTGGATTGGCGAGTTGATCTGAGGTGCCCAATTTTCCACCTCGTAGGGTAGACATATTGGAGGAAACCTTTTTGGTTTAAACAGAACGAGGCGGCCTTCTGCAATGGGAGGGGCCGTTGAAGACTTGTGGGAGGAGCTGTTGATGACGCAGCACGTGTGACCCACTGGCGGTGGATAAACAGGAAACAGCTGATAGCAGGAATTAGCGAGCAGCTAGTAGCAAGAGGGAAACACAAACCTGACAGACACTGTAAAGATGAGCAACTGGGAAGACAAGGAATTGTGTGCCCTCCTTGTCCTCGCAAACGAAGAGGCCATTAACCGTCAGATGACGGGGACGGTGAAGAACGGGCCGACTTATGAGAGAATCGCCAAAGGACTGACCAGCCGCGGCTTCCTTCCCACGTCACTGTTTACGTCACACGCTGAGCTACACGTTTTGTTACTTGCTCACGCCCCCCATTGCCCCGAAAAATAAACAAAAACAAAAGTAGGTAGGCGGCATTTTGCTGCACTCCCCAATTTTGTTTTTATACTTCCAATGCTGAAAGAAGACTGATTGGGCTTTCCTGCAAATGTGCACAATTCCCGTTTAAAAAGGGCTTATGCAACTCTGTCTGTCACCAGGTACAATCCCCCAGGAAAACTAAGGTTCAATTTACTGCACAAAGGAAATGCAACCATTGCACAACCCAAAAAAAGTGGACGCAGTATAGAGCAATGTGTGTAACCATTTTTTAAAAATGTCTCAATGAGAAAGTTTTATTTTATGAAAGTAAGTGAAGATACTCACATTAACAGGCCGTGAGAAAGCAACGGCCACTCTCTCCTCATTCCGGCTGACATACACACAGCTGATCATCTCTTCACGTTCCGCTGTTAAAAGACAGAAAACTCTATATGCAACTCGTGTTTCATAAATGACTGAGTACAGCAGATATTTGCAAGCACAAGAAAACTTTGTGCTTTGTGCTTTCAAACACATTTGTACACACAGACACAATTACAGATGGACGTACCTCTGCCTAGCAACCAACGATAGTAGAACCAAGCACTCTGATCATTGGGGTCAGTGAAGAAAGCATTCTGTACAAGTTCATATTCTGAAAACAAAAAAGAAGGTTTAATTAGATGCTAAATTACACAGCAGATAGAACAAGCATTTACAGGCATAATGAAGCCTCAGACTGCCCCCTGTCTGCTTTGATCAGGTACTGCTGACTGCACACAACCTGTCCTTTCATTTGCTGAGTTTACCTTTGAGGAGCTGCTCTTCACAGACGCGATGGGAGTGGGTTTGCGGAGATGGTGGAGGGGAGGTCTGGGGAGGCTCGCGGCACGGTGACGGGGGCTCAGGAGACTCGGGGTGGAGCAGCGGCAGCAGGGTGCTACGGTAATGCCAGCTGGAGTAGTTGGAGAAGTTGGAGCCAATAAGACGATCAGTAAACGCCAACTCCTGATCCACAGGAACACCAGACATCTTCACAACCATGCGGCGATAATCCCAGCAGTGGACTGGTTGAGATGGGAGAATGTGGTGTGAGACATGGATGGAAATAGTGCTGTGAGAAAATGACCCAGATTTCTAGAGTACTGAAGTTGCAACAGCCTCCTTCATTTCTGCTGCTTCCTTTTTCGGCTCCATTACTCACAGTTGCGGTCGTCCAGACTGAGGCAGCGATCACACAGGCTCAGCTCTCTGGCCCAGTCCGGTCGAGGCAAGCGGAATGAGACCCACCCTCTGTGGTGCCAGCTGCCGTAGGACTTTGGATTCACTTTCAGGCAAGACTCCAGAAATGCCAGTTCAGACTCATAAATCTTTTGCACTTCATCCTCCTCCCTGGAGCAGACATGGAGAAACAAAAACATCACTCTCCCGTCATATCTCTCATGATTTTCAAAAAGGGGCTGCGCTGACAACACGCAGGTGACAAGATAACAGATAATGATCTCACCTCACAGTCTCCAGGTGCATTAGGATCTCTCTTCTGTAGTTCCACAGGGTTGCAAAGTCAGGATTGGATGATAGGAGCTGCTGGGTCAGCAGGAGAGCCTCGTCATCCCAGATCCCCTCCTTCCTCTGCCATGCAGGTTCAAGGGAGGGAGGCAGATACACAGACCCAGAGACAGAAATGAGAAATCTACACAAGGACAAAACAAACCTGAAACTGATAAACAGGTTCAACTCTTAATGCACCAAACTAAAATGTTTGATCATGGTAATGAAGACACATGCCACATAGTGCACGGTTAGATGCTAAGCTCTATCGGGCTGCAGCTAACCCCATAATACTTACTTTATTAACAGGGTCAATTCATTTTCAGTTTTAGTTTTCTTTAATGGGATTTCCCACTGGGCTCTGTTTCAGGCCCAATTCTCTTCACTCTGTATAAACTACCACTCGGCAATAATATCAGAAATCACAAAGATTTACAGTAACACTTTACTTGAAGGTGTCTACATAAGAGTGACATGACACTGTCAGGAACCTGTCATGACCATTATGTACATGTCATGCTGTCATTAAGTGTCATTCGGCTTTTATAATGACAAGTTGACTTTGTTTGGGTGTCTTGATTATGACAACTTGACATTAATCAAAGTGACATTACCAGAAGTTTTCTTTGTCATAACAAGTTGACTTTGATTGGGATGTCCTTATTATGACAACCTGACATTAACCAGGATGACATTACCAGTCTTTGTCATAACAACTTGACATTAACAAGAAATGCACCTCTTTTTGTGTTTATGACAAGTTGACATAATGATTGATTGATACAAAGACATCTTCTGGTAATGTCATCCTGGTTAATGTCAAGTTGTCATAATAAGGACATCCCAAACAAAGACAACTTCTGGTAATGTCACTTTGATTAATGTCAAGTTGTCATAATCAAGACAACCCAAACAATGTCAACTTGTCATTACAAAAACCGAATGACACTTAATGACAGCAGTCATAAAGGTTTATGACATGTACATAATGTTCATGACAGGTTCACGACAGTGTCATGTCATAGTTATGACAGTGTCATGTCACTCTTATGTAGATACCTTCATGTAAAGTGTTACCCAATTTACATAATTACGCAGACGATACGCAGCGATATATCTCTGTGAATTCAAATGACTAGAGGTCTGTCAATAACCTAGTCTCGCTCACCAGACCTTTCTCAAGAAAAGAAAGGTCTGGCTGGGCCGACTCTCACTTTAAGATTGGAGAAAGAAAAAACGCCCCGGCTGCTTGTATTTCTTCCATCCAATCACAATCGTTCTGGGCGGTGCCACAGCAACAGTGCGCTTGTAAAAATATTGCCAGGGGGAAACAGGTTTTGGTGTAACGCCCACAAAAATATCGCCTACAGGACGCGAACCATGGCAGAAAAATGGCTACATCCCCACAAGATCAAACACTGCAAAAGTTAGTAAAGGATGTGTTGAAAACGGTTGAAAACTGCTACACAACTGGAGGTGGTAGGGCGGGACTTCAGCGGGTGGCTCGTTCCGCCCAATGAGAGGCTGATCTATGCAGCGAACTTCCGCCCACTCAGACTATCAATAACCTGATTGCATGTGTGTCTTGCATGTGTTAAGGCAAGAAAAAAAAACAAAACAAGATTCTTGTTTTTGATGTCATTCTTGTCTTGTCAAAAGCAGCAATCAAAACTGTCTAACCACCTAAAATTATTTGCACTGAACATGTAAAAACCCTTAAAACCCTCAACTTTGAACATCACATTAGACACATGACTTAAGTGTCCCTTTATCACTTGAGGAATGTTGCCAGAGTCCGACCATCTCTCTCCCATGCAGATATAAATACGCTGATATATGCTTTTTGTCTCCAGCCGACTAAACTATTGTAACACTCCTATGTCTGGTGTGTCTAAAAAAGCCATTGGTAAGCTACAGCTTGTACAGAATGCAGCAGACAGACAGCCGACATTACTCCAATCTTAAAATCATTACATTGGTTCCCTGTCTGTCACAGAATTAATTTTTAAATTCTTTTATTGGTGTTTGAATCACTAAACGGTCTTGCCCCATCTTATCTGTCTGACATGGTCAGGATGCCTGTACCTGCTAGGCCCCTGAGATCCTCTGTCTCAAACCTAGGGGCTCCTTCTCCCTACCTTTAAGTTCTAACCTCTGGAACAGTTTGCCTGAAGGTCTTTGGGGCTGCTGAGCTTCATCTTAAGGTGCGTCTTTTTACCATTGCTTTACTCCTGAAATGTATTTTAACTGATAGTTGTTTTATCTTGTCTCAGCCTGCAGTTTGAACTGAATCTTACTTTATCTTTTATTTCAGGAATGTTTTGTCTTTAACGTTCAGCACTTTGTATTGCATTTTATGCATGAATTGTACTACATATTATGTATATAGTTATTATCAAAATATATGTTTTAATGTACTATAAATGTGTATTTCTAAAGGACCTTAGAAAATATGGCATCTCGTGCAGCCACATATATCTTCAGTTTCTTCTCACGCTCCTTTCTTCTCTCCTCCTCCTGCTGGGCTGTAGATTTAATCTTCACTCGACCGTGCTGTCAAAACAACAAAAATGGATAGCACAGTACAGCTCACTCTGCTGGTAAAAGGTTATTAGGATTATATTTGATTGCTCCATGTGCAATATTAACACTGTACCAAAGCAATGGATATACCAGCATTTGAAAGCAAAGTAAATAAATGATGAATCTCTTACCATCCTTTGTGTTTGTTCAGGAGACCTCCCAATAAATCTGTTTGTGATGGAAAATGAGGAGTGATATTCAGAGTCAGGCCTGAGTAACATGGCAGACAGTGAGCTGACAGGCTGGCACGAAATCAGAATCCAGTTCATGCCAAGTAGGCACAATAAAAATGTGACAAATTAAAATGAGAGCACTGTACAGTTTTTTTGTAAGTGGTAGCTATGTGCAGAAATGTGCTAAATATGATCCAGGTGACGTGTAAACGTTCACAGCATTGAGGATGAAGAGACTGTGTGTTAGTTACAGAGACATGAGTCACATACATGAACGTTAATGTAACATACAGATACAGATGAAGACGTTTATGTAATGGAAGTTATGACAAGTCTAAATCGTGAGCTCAGCCGCTCCCTTATCGTTAGCATACATACATTTATCCGTCATTAATGTTAAACCCTGAACACACACAGCCCTGAGTCTGCAGTTAGCTTGCTAATTAGCTCCGTCCCCAGTAAACAACACTGGGCTGGGTTCATTCAAACCAGAACAGAATGACAGCAACCTGCGACATATTATATATTTACATTTACAAGTATTCAATGAACGCGACGTGGTCTAGCTCATAAAACACCCACCTGTTCTTTTGACTCGGCTTGCTGTGTGTTTTTCAGAATGCAGTTTGATTTGTCATGTCACTACCAGGATCTCTAACGACTACAATTCCCCACTTCCGTCTCATGAAACTGACGTCACGGAGAGAGTCCTGATCGCGGCACTTTGTCGCCCTCTAGTGGAGAAAACAGAAAACTGCGGCTTAGAAACATTCAACTGACCAGAGTTTGAAAGCACCTGGACATTTATATGTGATATTAGTTCGTGGGTGGAAGTGTTAAATCCAGATTATTATTATTATTATTATTGTTGTTATTATTATTATTATTATTATTATTATTATTATTATTATTGTTATTTATAGGGATTACACATCTCATCTGGCCTGGGAACACCTTGGGGTCCCCCAGAAGGAGCTGGAAAAAGTTGATGGAAAGAGGGATGTCTGGGGTGCTTTGCTTGGCCTGCTGCCCCCGCGACCCGGCCCCGGATAAGCGGATGAAAATGGAATGGATTAAATTGGATAGAAATTTAGACAATACCGTTTATCGGGTCAAGTTGTGTTACATAACACATTCCAGTGTGCATCTCTCCTCACGTATAGTCTCCGCGCTGCTCCGCCCCACTCATTCACTCACAAGTTCTCCAGCAACATTAAGAGAGACACAGAGCTGCTCCTCTGTTTAATCTGTCTGTAATTTGTCTACAGTGCGACGCAAAATCAGTCTATGACATGTTGTGTGCGACGAGTAAAAACTGCAACGACAACACAGACGTTTCATATACAAGACGTATATAATGTGAACAAAGTGTCTCTTGCTCTTTCCCTCCCTCGGCCTCTCTGTTGATGCTATATGTATTAATAAGATTAATAGCCTAAATTAACAAAAAGATTTAAATCATTTTCCAGCACTAGATTCATTTGAAAGGCCATGGAAAACAACTTTTAACTACCCCCACAAAGATTTTTAATTGTTTCAAACATACTTGATACTTTCACAGTCATGTTATAGTTTTGTATCCTGTGCTGCAAACCTTTAAACCTCTGCAGCTCCAGTACTCTGTACAGAAAGTTAACATAAAGCCCTGCTTATTATTTCACATGGTTTTTCATTTACATGTTGTGCAGCTGTATATTTACCAAACAGGGAAAAAATGTGGCCCATTTCATAGAAAATACAGAGATTTATATCATAAATCATCAGTCAGCCCGTAAATATCTAGATATGACTTTTTGTCTATAATGCCCGGCTATGTGTCCCCTGCTTCCCCCCCGGGATCTACGGCCATGTCTCTGTTTATATTAGATGTCTGTATGAACTGTTGTTGCCTATGTATGAAATACTTGGGAGTAAAATAATCTGACTACAAGGCACAAAATTATACTAGAAATAATCAACAATAAATGAAGAGTCAAAAATAAAAAGAAGCATACCAGTGTCTATGTCATTAGCTACTACATGAGCAGCACCAGACAGCTTTGCAGCGATGGCTGAGGCTCCACAGCCGCTCCCCAGATCCAGGACTGTCTTACCCCGACACACTGCAGGGTTATCCAGGAGAAACCTGCACAGAGGAGAAACACTAATGAGACCTAACTGCACTAACTCGCACATAAAACTGTGGCTGAGGCTGAAATATTACCTCGAGAGTGCTTGTCCTCCTGGCCAGTATATGGCCCAGTACGGGTCATCAAAGGGCCACAGCTCTGGTCTCTCTCTCCAGAACCTGCACTTCGGGGTGAACAGTCTGAGTTTGACCTCTGGGGTCAGGCTCTGCTCTCCAACGACCTCTGTGTTCTCTGAAATGAACCTGCGGATATACTCATCAGACTGACAGCTGACGGAGACACTTCTAGGTCTGTTCGTCTGTCGAAACGCTTTAATAAAAGCTTTAAAATGACGGGTCTGAGGCGTTAAACGTCCCGACATGATCATAAACGTACTGGCTAACGTTAGCTGGCTAGTTAGCTAGCTAGTTAGCCTCATAGCGGCTTTTAATGTTTGTCTCTGCAGCTAACAGTCACTCAATACTGTCATTATAGAGCAACACCCTTTAAACAACACAATATTTAAAGATAAAATATAATACAGCTGTCAAATCCACCGTACAGATCCAAGTGAGGCTGTTTTCCACACGGACACAAAACATTGTCGGACCAAAGCTGCACCGACCTCCTGAAAACGGAACACGATCAACGTTCCGCTCATAAAGGTTCCTACACAGTTTTCGGTAGGTGAATACATCGAAATTCATAAATGTATATAAAATAAATCTATTGACTGAAACCTTCTTCCTCTTCGTCAGCTATTCTAAATTATTAGCAGTAGTACACACAACTTAAAGTTAGGATATAGGCATTAAATAGCCATATTAATTTAGGCTACATTTTAGATTTTCACTAAAAGTAGATGATGGGAAAAAGCAACAGCCCTTTCCTCATTTTAATACAGTGATAAAGACTGTGAAACAAAATGAAATTATGATAGTTAACTATCATAATTTCATTTTGTTTCACAGTCTTTATCAGTTATTGATATTATTATATCAATAACTATCATAATTTCATTTTGTTTCACAGTCTTTATCAGTGCAGTATCACCAGTCAATCAATTTCAGATTATTTGAAAGATCATTTAAATTTAATTTGAATTTTAAAAAGTTTTTCTGCCATTAATCAGCTACACATAACATTCATGTCCACATATTTATAAAAGATGGCAACAACAATAAAAGAAGAAGAATAAAATCAAAAACAAGACTCTTCATGTCATCTTTTCCTTCCCCCAAAATGTCTGCTAGTGTTTCTCATGCCTCACATACGTGGATTTTCCTCTGTTTATATAAACATCCATCCATCCATTTTCTAACTGCTTATCCTCTTAAGGGTCACGAGGGGGCTGGAGCCTATCCCAGCTGACATTGGGCAAGAAGCAGGGTACACCCTGGACAGGTCACCAGTCTATCACAGGGCTGACACATAGACACAGACAACCATTCACATTCACACCTACGGTCAATTTAGAGTCACCAATTAACCTATCCCCATTCTCCATGTCTTTGGACTGTGGGAGGAAGCCGGAGTACCCGGAGAAAACCCACGCTGACACGGGGAGAACATGCAGCCTCCACATACACCCGGGATAGAACCAGGAACCCTTTTGCTGTGATGCAACAGTGCTAACCACCACACCATTGTGGTCTCTCTGTGCCGCTGACCCGGATTATAAGTGAACAGACAAATGAGAGGCCACTCAGAGGGTCAAATGTTTACGACCCTGCCCCTGGTCTCACTCCCGTCTTGATAAACGCTCTGACGAAGCAGAATTCGGGGCCTGGAGTTGGGCCTGGTGGCTCCCGACCTCGTCTTCAACTTTCAGATTGAACTTACTTTCTTTTCTATTAAATACCTTAAATTCAAGTATTCTGTAGTCAAGGAATCACTGGAGACACTTAGAATCAAGTGCAACTGAGTTTAATGTGCTCACAGGCAACAACACATACAACTCAATGAGTCAAGCTCCGGAGCAGAACTGAAGTTTCACTTTCTGTGCGCTCTCTTTTATGCTGGTGAAGATTCTGGTGGTGTCATGGTTTTTCCCTTTTTTCGCCGAAGCCAATTTTAACTGTGTAATCTTTTTCCGAGCAGCCTGGGAACGATTCATATTTCCGGGCCATATTAGGCAGGGCTGGAATTCCCTAAACTTTCCCACCAATATGTTCGAGCCCAGTCTTGCGCTATTTTTAAAAAATAATGCACATTGAATCCTAGGTACTTTCCCCTTCAGTCTTAAGTGCTTACATGCTATACATAGACAGATGAGTGTGTGTGAGTGTAATATGTGGATACATGAAACAGTAAACCATTGTGTGACTGGGTGTAAGTGAACAGAGTACATTGCCTCGACATGTAATTTAAAGGTCAACTTGAGGACAAAGCATAAGATCGAACGAGTACATTACACTACAGCTCCTTTCAGTCATCCTGGTTGAAGAGGGGTAAAAATGTCACTTTGGACCCCTCCATGTTTGATAGTGAGCATTAGTCATGAAATTATGAGTCTATTTCAGGTTTTAAAATGTGAAAATGACAGTGTGTGACAGTAGTCATACGCTACATAGTGTTTATTCAGTGGCAGTGGCGACTGCAGCCTGAGGCTGTAATTACAGCAGCCCTCATGCTCTCATCTTGTTTAAAGGTATTGCTTTTTGATGGAGGAGGTGGAGGCGTCCTAATGGATAGTTCTCTTCATGTCATTGAAGTAACCCAGAACTGACCCCTGTGGCCTGAACCAGCCCACCAACAAACCTGCTCAGGGATTATTTTTACAAATGGCGGCTGTCTATCACGGCCGGCGGGTGTAGTGACTTGATTTCACACGGGAATTGCAACCTTCAGCTCCCAGACTATGAGTCAATGTGGTAAGAATGCAACAATGTGTTCACATTCTGCAGATGACAGAGATCAGAGATAGACCTATGTCCTCCATGACCAAGGTTGCAATTCAGGCATCTTGTCGCATATGATTTCTTCGTTCTACAGGCCTGAAATTTAACACTGCAAAAGCAATTTAAAGTTCTGAGCTGCTGAGACAGGAAGAGGCTACATGACCGCTCTCTACAACACACTCAATATTGATAAGATATTAAGATTTCATGAAATGTGCATGGCTCTTTCTGAAAAGGACTTTTCTTATTTAGTCATACAGAGTTTTGATCATTTTGAGATATTTTTTATTCTTCTTCAACCACTGTTATAAAAAATTATGATCATGCTGTGTATGTACGCTGTGTACCGGTCAGTAGGATACTGTTTCTGTTTTGTACTTAAACACCACAACGTCAGCAGGTTCATCAGCTCTGTAGCTGTAAGGGAGGACAGGGAGGCTCGGATTGGAGACAAGTCAAGGACAGGCCAATTTGGTTGGCCAGACAGGCAGGGTATTGTTCCAACAGAGGGACTGAAGATGATTGTGACGTTATCTACGTGTGTACTTGATAGAGAACTGAAACATCCGAGCTTCCCCGCCCACTTATGCTGTATATTAGCTGATAGCAAACGCTCCTCCAGCGAGCCTTTTTCTCTGTAACCTCACCATTGTGAAACGCTCCTTCTTGTACAAGAAAATAAAACTTTGTTAAACTTTGATACTTCGGCTCCGATCTCTGTTGCTTTAAAAGTCATTACGAAGAAATTATTTTGACAGCCACTATCAAGATAAATAAGATGCAAAAAGAACAAATAAAGAGTAAAGGACAGAAAGACATAGAACGACACCATGGCCACGTGCAGTATAAGTGAAAAAAGCCTGACCTCGGCCTACTAATAAAAACTAGCCACCACTTTGCTGAAGCAGAATGTTTCCTTTTGATTGACTCAGTCATGATTATGTGAGTGTAACATGAGCTGTCTACGTCTCTCCCAGCAGACACTGTGCACTGTGACTGTGATTAAGAGGGTTTCCTTTTAAAAGGCTGAGGTTAAACCCTGACAGATGATGCTCCACATGGCTCTCTGTGTCACATCTTCTCCCCCAGACAAACTGGTGGAGCCACAGCTGACCTCATTCAATGTGAAAATCAAGCCCTCAAGCTTCTTTCCCTCCATTCTGAATGTGCTTTTCTTGCCTCTCTCAGGTTTTACTTTAAAAAATATTCATTCAATATTTTTGTTTGCCCTGCCCAGCAACAACTAGCATCATCCTGTGATTATCGTCCCCTTCCTCCGCTCCTCTATTTTTGATGATCTCTGTGCCCAAACATCCACAACTGGCACCCCTTCAGGAAATAAAGATGCCACTCTCACTTGATGAACTCTCCTCTTGAAAGAAACTTTCCTCCAAATGGCATCACCAAACCTTTCATCTGCGTTATTAGTTTAGTGAAACACTCCACCCCCGCTTAACTTCAGTAGACTCTCACCGTGTCCTCCAGTGCCACATTTCAAAGACTGCAGGAGCAAAGCACTGACTGCCTTTAATATACTGCATATCTCTGTGTAGCATCTCAGCTGCACAGCAGTGGACAGAAAAGCTCCTCAGGCGGTGCTCTCCAGAGCACAGACAGTCATTGTGTTACAGTTCCCAGCCCTGAGGACGTCTACAGAAGAGAGCCATCACATCTGTAAGACCCCTCACACCTATGCCACTGTCTGCCTGAACTCCTTCCATTTGGCAGACGTCATATGGCCTTCTATGCCCACGCCTCCACACTGAGAAATAGCCTTTTCCTTAGCGTTATAACTGCACTGAATCAGTCCACTAGGTGCCCCCATAACCTGTCCGACTGTCCCCATTGCTGTCTGGCACAACTGACTTTTATCACAGCATGAGGATTGCACTGTGTGTTCTGTGTGCACAGTTTTGGTTTTAAGCTGCATTTCACATCTAAGCTACCCAAGCTGCTTGATACTTTTATAATGTTAAAACTTGCTATTTTAACTTTTATTACTCCCTTATTTATTAGGAATGTAGCAGAGATTGCAGCTGAATCCTATTATACAATGACTGAATCAAAGTGTGAATGGAGATAGCTAACAAGATGCGCATATCATGGAGGAAGACACCATGTTTAGCCTCTCATTAACTAAGTGTTTAGACCTGATAGAGGTGGATCCGTCCCCAGCAGGAGTGTTTGATTTATCCTCAGGTGGGTCCTCGGGGACTTTAAACAATGACAATAAAGACATTCAGGTTATAGGGGGTGTTGGTATGTGTTGAGGCAAACTGTCTCCAGCCTTCATTTATTTAGATTATCTTGCTGAACAAAACATGTAAGTATGGTAAACTTTTGCCACAGAGCTTATTTTCGCAATAATCCAAAATCCAATGGAAGAATCCCAAAGGGTTTTTTGATGGGGGACCCAGGGCGATGCTAACTTCACCCTTGACCTACAGAAAAACGTCCGCCCTGGAGCACTCTGTCCAATCTCTCAGTTTCCTTTTTTATAACTGTTATAAAAATTGTGTATGTACGCTGTGTACCGGTCAGTAGGATACTGTTTTTGTTTTGTACTTAAACACCACAACGTCAGCAGATTCATTAGCTTTGTAGCTGTAAGGGAGGACAGGGAGGCTCGGATTGGAGACAAGTCAAGGACAGGCCAATTTGGTTGGCCAGACAGGCAGGGTATTGTTCCAACAGAGGGACTGAAGATGAATGTGACGTTGTCTACAGGTGTGAAACAT